AATTTGACAATTTCTCTTTAGATCTCCTTAAAAAAGGAATTTGATATCTGGATTTGCATTAAACATGTAGTTTGCTTTTGGTAGGATTGTAATTTTCATAATTTTGAGTCTTCCTATCCATAAACAGGACAAATTCCCCATTTATTTAGGTCTTTTATTGTGTGGTGCAGGGATGCTCTGTAGTTTTCTTTGTATCTTTAGTTAGGTTCACTTCTGAGTATCTCAATTTGTGGTTGGCTATTGTAAATGGTATTGCTTTCTTGATTTCCTTTCTCTGAGTCTCTTTATTTACTATGGAGGAGTCCCACTGAGTTTTGGATATTGATCTTATACCCTGCTACTCTACTAATTTGGCCTACTAACTCTAACAGGGTTTTTGTTGAGTCTTTGGGTTTTCTGTGTATCCTATTATATCATCTGCATATAGCAATAGTTTAAAAATATCTTCGCTGATCTGGATACTTTTTATTTCCTTTTCATACCATATTGCCCTAGCAAGTACTTTCAATACAATATTGAGTAGAAGTGGTGACAGTAGGCATTCTTGTCTGGTCCCTGTTTGCAAGGAAAATGCTTTCAGTCTTTCTCCATTGAGAATGATGTTGGCTCTTGGTTTTGCATATATCCTTTTCACTATGTTGAGAAAATTCCCTTTTTTTGAGTTCCTTTATCAGGAAGGGTGTTGTAGCTTGTCAAATGCCTTTTCTGCTTCAATTGCTAAGATTATATGGTTCTTGTTATTTACTTTGTTGATATGGTGAATTACATTGATTGTTTTTCTTATACGGAACCATCCTTGCATACCTGTTATGAATCCCACTTGGTCATGGTGAGTTATTTTTTTTATGTGCTTTTGGATTCTATTGGACTGGATTTTTGTTAAGAATTTTTGCATCTATACTTATGAGATATATTAGTCTGTAGTTTTCTTTCTTGGTAATATCTTTGCTTGGTTTTGGTATTAGGGTTATGCTTCATAGAATGACTCTGGGAATGTTCCTTATTTTCCAATTTTTTAAAATAATTTAAGTGTAATTGTTGATAGAGCCTCTCAGATTCAGCTGTGAAGCCACCTGGTCCAGGGCTTTTCTTATGGGGAAGTTTTTTTATAACCTTTTCAATTATTTTTTTTTTGTAATGGGTCTGTTCAAGTGTTCTATATCTGTGTTCAAATGTTTTATATCTGTCCTCGTCAATCTTTTTTAATTTTTTACTAGTTTATTTACAAAATTCAAATACAAATTTGAACAAATTCTTTCAATTTCCCCCCACACTCCAATCAAATTGTACAACCCAATGATTAATCCCACCCTCCCCCTGCACCTCCACATCCCTCTGCTTCCAGCCTCTCCCATCCCTCCTTATACTCATTCTACAATAACAATTTTATACAATATTTGTCCTTATAGGACTGAGTTAGTTCACTCAGCATAATGCTCTCCAGTCCCTCCGAAGTTAGGATCTTAAGTGTTTTGATTAGCCATTTAAAAATACAACTATTGAGGGGTTTTTTGCCTAAAGCAAAAGAGAATGAAGAAGAATGATGATTCAAGGAAACAGTCAAAAGGACCCACATAAACCACAACTTCCTTCAGCTGAATCCAGAAGAACTAGATGGTGCCCAAATGCTGCTATTACTGATCACTCACATAAAGACCGTAATGTAAAATCTCACTTAGAATGGGTTAAAAAAAAAAAGAAAAAGAAAAAGTAGACAGGATCCAGATCACAGATCTGAAAGAGTAGAGGAACACTTGAGATGGTTGCTTTGAGATAAACTTCTAACAAGAAACCTAAGAGACTTCTGGTATTTAGCTTTCAGTTAGGTAATAGATGGAATAATCAAGAAAACAAAAATCCTCACCATTCAACCTATAGGCACCATCATAATAGATGGAGAAAAGACAAATTGCCAAGATTCTATTTTACCGTGTTGATCCATAATCAACAGCTTTGGTAACAGTAGTCAAGAAATACAATGTCATGGCTTGGGTTAAGCCACCTTATTCTTTAAAATGACATCCTTGCTCTTTAACTTTTTCCTCTATGAAGTCCTTGGTAAAATAAATTTGCCCAGTGCATTTTCTACTGTTTGATTTCTTGATTGCTGCCTTCATGGTCCTTGACTGAGTATCTAAGTAAAATAAAATCCTTGACAACTTCATTCTATTCTTTGCTTATCATGTTACCTATTGGTCCACTTGTGAAATGTTTTGTTTTCTTTATGTTGAAGTCTTTGGTCTCCATTAATAAGTGCTTCTAGTTCTTCTCACCTTCAGCAAGCAAGATTGTGTCATCTGCATATCAGAAATGTTACATTGGGAAAGAGTGGTGGTGATGGTGATTTTACCTCAGTGTCCTTAAGGCTGTGCCCAAAGGAGTGGAGTGTGGTTCTGAGCTGTGCCAGGAGAAGAGGAATTCCAGAAAGCTTGAAGAGGGCTGGGCAATGGTGGTGTCTACTCAGTCAGTCTTGATTTCAATCATTATTTTATATAAATGATCATACTATTTCTTTTGTTGATTGCCTTCAAGTTGAGCACGACTCATAGCAACCCCTATGAACAAAAGGCCTGAAGCCCCTCTGCAACTATAGACATTTATCAAAGTTCATAGTTTCCAGAGGCATTTTGTTTAAGAAGTGGATGCCATTCCTGCTTCAAAACCTGTCATAGTATGTTATTGTGTTATGTGCAGTTGAGTTGCCTGCAATATACAGCGAGCAGCTCTGAACCCTTCCCTGTCCTGAATCAATCTCACTAATTCTGACACACCAACCCCCATTGCCTTATGATTTGTTCATTTATCTCTTTTCCTGAATAATAATGGAAGACTAAGTGTAGTTTTGTTTCCTGTCTGGAGTACCTTTGCTTACCCAATAGGGTCTTCATACAGTAGATGCTCATTATATTAAATGGCAGCTCTGTTGAGTTGTCATCGTTGGCATTTGAGCTGCATAGTGCAATCTTGTTTTCCAAAGTCGTAATTTTATAATGTAAAGTTATTCAGTCAAATAGAAGATATTTGGAAGATCCTGAAAACACAGTGGCTTTCTGAATAAATATTGGACACTATGCAGTTTTACCTGCAGCTCTTGTCATGCAACTTTTGTCCTCTTTTCCTCTCTCTGCTTTTTAAATTAGATTAAGTTATACGTTTTTATTGTTGTGCTGTAGGTACTCCATAATACATATTGAGATCGTTTCTTTGAAATATTTATTTCATCGATACTTTGTAGGTTCTTTACATATTCATACAGGTATAAAGTATGAGGCTGAAGTTGTAAACTCAGTGTTTTTTTTAAATAGTAACAATTTTGCTTCTTTATTGATGTATCAAAACAATTACACATATCATATGTACCATAATTTCAAAATCATTAAATATGAACTACTTATAACAATTGTTAATTGTAATGCAATAGAAAATATCTGTAGTTTCCCCCATTTTATTGTATAAAAGCTTAGTCTATTTATTTGTTTTGTTAACGTTTACTCCTTATTAACCCTCTAAAGTTGATTCTGTGTATAAACCTTTTCTTGCTTTTTTATGATAGTGATTCTATACTTGTTCTTATGTGACTGATTTATGCCGGTCAGTATAATTTGTTCTAGATTCATCTCTATTGTGCAATATTTCACAAATCCTTCACAGTCTTTTTAGTGAAGCATTATACTTGGGTTGTTTCCAACTCTTTGCTATTATAAATAATCCTACAACAAATGTGAATATGGGTATTTATGTTGCAGCTCTTATTTCTTTGAGAAATGTATGTAATAGTGGGATTGTTGGATCACATAGTATTTCTACTCATGCCTTTCTAAGGGATCATCAAACTGCTTTACATAATCGTTACACCATTTTACCTTTCTATCGGCAAAATGTGAGAGTTCCAGTCTTTCCACATTTTCACAGAATTTGTTGTTTGCTGTCTTGTTGACTGTTGCAGGTTGTGCTGGAATGAAAGATATCTCCTAGTTGTTTTAATTTGCATCTCTCTACAACAATAACTAATGAAAGAGCTCTCATGACCTCAAGGTAAAGAGTTAACACTGTCAACTAAAAGCCTGATAGTTCAAATCCACCACTGGCTCCACAGGAGGAAGATAGGCAGTCCCTTCTTGCACTGCTTACAGCCTCTGAAAACCCACTAGAGAATCAGCTGTGGGTCAGATATGACTCAATGGGACAACAGCAATAACAGCTAATGATCTTGAGCATTTCTTGATGTATTTGTTAGCCATCTGAATGTCTTCTCTGGTGAAATGTCTGTTCATATCCTTTGCCTATTTTATAACTGGGCAAAATGTCTTTTTTTTATCAAGACATTGAAAGTTCAAAGATTTTGATGAATTCTCTCCTTCCTTCCTTTTTTACTTTAGTCTCCATGAGTCAGAATTGACTCCTTGACAAAGGGTTTGGTTTTAGTCCCAGGTACTTCCTTAAATGCTGGGGGCAACAAGAAAAAAGGCACGGTGTCTGATCTCAAATCCATTGCAGTCTGATGGACAGAAAAAAAATTGACTACATAGTATGTGGTGTGTTACTTTTTCACTGTTAACGGAAACGCTGTTGCTTAGAATCCACCAAATGCCCTATAGGAAAAACATGAGCAGCCTCCTTCCATGAAGATTACAGCCACAGAAGCCCAGTGAAAGGTTGCTCTTGGTTTGAATTGGCTCAGTGGCTGTGATTTGGATTTGGTTAGGGTATGTGGTCTGAGACAAGCAGCCCTTGTGATTTAGTATCTTACATTTTGGGGTGCTAACTGAAAGGTGGGCAGTCTACTAACTGCTCCGCAGGAGGAATCTGAGGATTTACACTCTCAGAAACCCTGCAGAAGACCATCACCAAGTTGGAATAGAGTTTGATGAAGTAAATTTAGTGGGATATGAGGAACTTTCTCTGACCCCTCTCTGGAATGTGGCCAGGAGCAATTAGAATGTGAGTTGTAGATGAACTAACAGGTTCTACTCTTTCTTATTCCATTTGTGTAGGGTGGCGATGTCTGTCCAGAGGTTACTGTCCAACAAAACCTCCCAACAATCAGCATCAAATTCGGATTACACCTGGGAATATGAGTATTATGAGATTGGACCAGTCTCCTTTGAAGGACTGAAGGCCAATAAATGTGAGTCTTGTGCAGTTCTTCACTGTAAGCATAGTATGTGTTCGCTTTCATATATGAATTCTCCTGTGAGTCATTCTTCTAAATACTCTGCCTTCCTTCAAAAGTCTACCCTATATCTGCAAAGCTTCCAAAATACCTCATCCACATAACAGAATTATTGCTTGGGAGTGGTATGTAATATGTGGGGCCCTTGGTGACTTGGAACAGTGAAGAACTTCTTGAAAGATTGATTCCCTAAGCGGAGAAGAATAATTCAGGGTTAGTTTCAGATTGAGAGGGTTTTTTGATTGTTGCTTATACTTTTTGAGATAATAAACCTGGCAGATCATATACCCACTCACCAATTTTTCATGTGCAATTCAATAGCATTGGTGATGTTCTTTGAGTTATGTCACCATTACTCATATTATTTCACCACTGTTGACTTAGACCTTAGATATAATATTTATAGTAGCTGGGTCTCATAAAGACGGTTCTTTAAAAGAATGCAATTCTCATGAAGAATATTCATACCATATTAGCACGAGGAGGTTTTTTTTGTGGGTTTGTTGAATTGGGAAGTTTGTATGTGTGTGTATTTTATTATTATTATTTTTTTTACACATCAGTAGCTATTCCAGGTACTTCAAAAGTGTAAATGTTTATACTATCTGAAAATAAGTACAGAAATAGAATCTGGAATTCTTATTTGGGGGGCCTTCTTTTGCACCCGATAGTTGGTGGCACCCTTGTGACTCCTTTAATCCTTTGTAGCTGTGAAGAACAATCTATCTCTCTGTTTTCATAATGACGCATAGGAATAGTATGGCATAATTTCTAACTCTGTTATCAGTATGGTCTGTGTTCACTGATTATCTGACTGATTATTGATCCAGCACAGAACAAGGATATGTAATTCTGTAAAAGTTACTACTCCACTCCAATCATGGCTACATGGTGACTGGACAACAAGAAGTCTACCTGTCTGATTAAATGAAATTGACATAACAGTCTAGAGCCACTATCTTGTCTTGGTTATCCCATAAATATCCAAGAGATATTCTTTTCAGAATATGTATCTGTGCCACTGTAAAAGTTTCAGGTACTAAATATGTACAGACTAATGGGACTCATTAGGAAATATTGTAGAGATTAGAATTGGCAATGAAAATGCAACAAAGGAAATGCTTTTAACGCTGGGGCATATCTTGGAAGTCCTGATCTCCTCCTATTGCTTGTCTGCAGTGGAATACTTTCTACTTTTCTACTCAACCACATTTACTTCATACCTAATAGAATTTTTAGTAGGTGCTATTGAGTATAACTCATAACAACCATACTCATCATCTCTGGCATGCTTGAACCCATTGCTGCAGTCTTTGAGCTGGTAATAATGAAACATTTTATTATTTTCATCTCAGTAGATGGTTGCCTAGCACTTCCTTTAGGGGGGTGGGGGCATGAATGGCATGCATTAAGATCTGCTGATATTATTAGACAGAAACTATTGTTGTCAACAAGTGAAATTATATTCCTTAATTAACTAAATTTTTTAGATGCCCCCCCCACAGATAACATTAAAGTGAAGATGTTTGTGTATTAGGACTCATAGCAGAAATCAGTGTGGATAGGGGAATTGTATGTTTCTCTGTAATTTAGGCTTTCACAAATTGGAGACATAAATTTTATTTTTGCATCTTTGCTTGTATCTCTTTTCCTTGATTTAAGAGGTTACTAAAGGCAGAACAGCTGCTGTAATTTTCATTGGTACATTTCCAGAGATAGTTGGAAAAATATTTTGTGAATATATTTTAAAAATTATTTTGGCTAGAAGAATTCCTGTAAAATATATACAGAAGGGTCACACATTACGTATTTACCTATCTTATGAATGACTTTTTCCCCCTATGAGTGCAACCTCATTCTTCTTTTCTTTATTCCCAGTATAGTATGCCATGTGATTGATCTGATTCAAAATGGCCAAAGGTAGTCCATCCCATCTCACTAAAGCCAGAATATTAATATTAATCCATTCTATGTATTCTATTTCATTTTAGTTCCAATTTCTAGTTTTCTAACATTCATGTTGTGTACATTTCATGTTCCAATTATTAAAAGATGCTTGTCACTATTTTTATTCATTTTGATTTACTTCAATCTCTTGTTAAAATGAGTGCTTTTGTTAGTTTTTACCTTTACACAAAGAAAACCCCAAATACTCAGAGTGAGTATTTACTGTTCTGGTATAAGAGATCAAATGAAAATAAAGATATAGCAATATATGAGATACATAAAACAACAATAACAACAAAAAACTACATACATAAATTAAAAGATTAAGTAAACTGTTGCAATGGTTACATTATGTAGTCTTTTGTGATTCTGATCTTTAGGAGTACTTACTGTTTTAGCTGAGAAAAATATCTAGCCAATCAGATGCAATTTAAAAACTATAGAAACAAAGCATTTCAAGGTGAAGCCTTTACAGAGAATATACATGAACATAACATTTATCTTCATTTGCCTTGCGAGAGCAATAAGTACATTTTAAGGTCAGAACTAAGTTCCTCTGCCTGGGAAAATGGAAATTTCTTAGATTCAAAGTGTCTTTCATTTGAGAAACAACCTCTGGTGGTCATTGGTAAATATCTTTTTGCCTTTTTTGTGGAGGGGTCACTTACTAAATCTGACTATGTATAAGAAACTGGAGCACACATAATATACATTTCGCATTAGAAAAGTGGAAATTTACTTACCCAATGTGTATGTTGGAAGCAGGAGAGGCATCCACTTCCTAAATCACATGCCTCTGGAAACTCTATGAACCTGGAGAAATGACAATAGTTATAGAAAGGCTTCAGGCTTTTGGTTCATAGGGTCACTATGAGTCATATTCAACTTGACAGCAGTCAGTAACAATGTGTATGTATTAAGCATCTGTTAGAAACAGCCTCATTCCAAGTCTTTCCTTGGAGGCTAGAAATTTGAAGCTCCATCTCACATACTTTGGACATGTGGCCAGGAGAGATCAAGAAGACATTCATGAAGAGATTAAAGAAGGGCATCATGATCAGAAGTGTAGAGGAACAGTGAAGGAGACGAAGACCCCAGATGAGGTGGATTGATACAGTAACTGGGGAAATGGGGATTGGTGTATCAGAATTAGCGAGACTGCCTCAGAACAGGGAAGGGTTTAGAGCTGCTGTACATAGGGTCACTATGGAACGCAGCATGTAACAACAACAACAACATTTTATATTGAGGTTTTGATTTTTTTTTAAGTTAAGTGTCTTACTTAGATTCCACTGGAAGGCCTTTTTGTATTTAAAAGTCAGTTGCTATTATAGGTTAGATGAACATCTTAGAAGTGGGACAGCACTCTTCTGTCAATTTGCTGCACTGAAGTAACCTGGAATTGCTGTGATGCTGAACCTTGTGCCTGCCATTCAGGGGTCAAATGTCATAATGGTTAACCGTGAGGGACAGTGTTTGGTGGAGCTCCCAGATTAAGACTGGTTTGACAGCGGGAATGGCATCCACTTCCTAAACAACATGCCTCTGGAAACTGTATGAAATTTGAGAAATGACAATAGTTATAGAAAGGCTTTAGGTCTTTTGTTCACTGACTCTCTATGAGTCATGCTCAACTTGACGGCAATGAACAATAACAACAACAACAACAAATAGAATATATAAAAGTATCTCCTCTTATAAATTTTGCATTCTAGTGAGAGAGACAGCCTGTGGTCACACCACTCTGAATGCCCCAAATATCCTCTAGTGGGAAATAGAGATTATTTATGAGTCATAAGTGAACAAGGATGTGAGACACACACTGGCAATGTAAAGCACCAGAGACATAGGCAGCAGCAGTGAGAGACACCAGTGATGCTGCTGGTCAATGGAGATGTGAATGAAGGGAGCAGCAGATGGGCAGCAAGTACATGAATGACAGTAGTGGAGATCACTCAAGAGACCAGAGCTGCAGTGGGCAGCATCTGAATGGGAGAGTGGAGCAGTGCTGGCAGTAGCCTCAAGACAAAGTGGAGCAATGGCAGCAGGACCAACCAGCATTACAGGAGTGACTGGAGGCCTGAGCCACCATAGCTAGGGTAGGCTGAGGGAGGAAGAAGGTGTATGCTGACCAGGCAAGGGAGAGGTTGGAAGGGGAGAGGCGAAAGTAGATGTTTGAGGAAGTGGAAGCTGGCAGAGCAGGGCAGGAGTGAAATAAAATCATGGATGCCAAAGGTGTGTGTGGGAAACAGCACTTAATTGGTTACTTTTTGCAATGGGAAGCGTATGTCATCTGATCTTCTGGGTAAAATGCTTGTTTGCCAGATAGTGCACTAAGATATTGAATTTCTAAATTAAGGCACACTAGGAAAAAGGTTTGGCCATCCATTTCTGAAACAACAGGTCTTAGAAAGTCCTGTTCACAATAGAGCACACTTGTTTTAGACTAACAGATATGCAACCCTCCAGTTGGAAAACACAAAGGAGAAGGAACAGTTGCAAGCAGACACTAGTTATTGAAATGTGGAATGTATGAAGCATAAATGTAGGTTAATTGGATATTGTTAAGAGAGAAATGTAATGCAGAAATATTGACCTATTCTATATTAGCCAAATGAGATGTGTTTGCATGGGATATTTTGAATCTGATCACTATGTGAAAAATTAGCACATGAAGAAAAATGTAGTCACATTCATAATTTAACATACCATATCCAGATCCATCTTGAAATACAGTGTTGTGAGTGACAGGATAATATCTATACACATACAAGGAATACCTGTCAATACGACCATCATTCAAATATATGTACCAACAACCAGAACCAAAGAGGAGGAGGTAGATTATTTCGATCAACTTTTGCAGTCAGAAATTGAACATGCAGCCTTTATGCACTGATAATAATGGGTGCTTGGAATGCAAAAGTTGGAAATGGAGAAAAAGGATCAATAGAAAACATAAGCTTGGTGACAGAAATGAGCATGGAGCTAAAATGATAGAAATTAGT